AACTGCTTTCAAAGTAAGTACAATAGAGTCTCGCTTATCCAACCTTTGCCCGTCCAACATTCTGTATTATCCAACGCAGTCTGCTTCCTGCCCGGATCCACAGCTCAGCTGTTTCAATACATTGCAAACTTTTGGTGCTAAATTCGTAAATACAGCAATTACTACATAACATTACCATGTATTGAACTGCTTTTCTGTCGGTTTGTTGTAAAACATGATGTTTTTGTGCTTAATTTGTAAAATCATAACATAATTTGACGTTTAATAGGCTTTTCCTTAATCCCTCCTTACTATCCAACATTTTCAGTTATCCAACGTTCTACCAGCCCGTTTATGTTGGATAAGTGAGACTCTTCCAAATTAAACAGGAAATAACACTTTCAAACCAGGAACAGATTTTTTTTCAAATTATTTTATATAGTGTAGGCAACAGCTCTGTCTTTTCAACCAGCTTATTGCCAGGGAAAAAGAAAGACATCAAACGAGGAGTGTTTTGGCGGAGATTAAGAAGGAACTCAGCAGGTGGATGTGGATTCTGTCGGTGTCAGAAGTTGGTCCAGGTGCAGCTTTACCTACACAGAGTCAGGAAGAAAGCCTCTTTCCCACTGGGTGCCACTCACTTCACTTCCACTGCTATTTGTGACCTGGAAGCGCTGAGCTGCCTTCTCTTTGCAGAGCAATGCCTTCGCTGTGAGTGTCGTTGTCCTTGTTGCCAATTCCCAGCCCTCCCGTTGCCAGCAGCTGGGCCCAAGAAGAAGGGTCCTTCTCCCTTCTCTATGTCTTCAAGGCTTCCGCTGCTTAGCGGGAAGTCTGGCAGAAGGAGATATATTCACACACACACAACCCTTTGACTTTCCCATATTTTTGTTGGGCTGCAATCTGGAACGGAAATGCATTGACAGAGTTACCATTTTATATACTACATTGGGAACATGCCAAATAATAATAATAATCTATATATATATAAAATCTCAGCCTGAGTATGTTTCTGCTTGCAAAACTTGAAAAGTAGTCAGTTGATTGGCGTGACATTTTGACACAACATTGCATTCCAATACGCTCGTGTTTTTAGAGTAAGGATCCATGTGTGCATTTAGAGTAAAACAAGCAGTCTGGGAATAGACAAAGTGGAATCTGTGATGCCCAAAACAACCACTCATAGCCTAGTTTTCATTCTACCTCAGCAGTATAAGAAATGAAAACTGAGCTCTAGTAACCAATCACTGTGCAGCTTTCCTATTACCTCAGCAGTAAAAAAAATAACAACCAATCACAGAGCAGCTTTCATTTTAACACAGCAGAAGAAGAAATAACCAATCACAGCACAGCTTTCCTTTTACCTCAGCAGTATAAGAAAAACCAAGCAATCACAGACTAGCTGTCATTTCACCTCAGCAGTAAAATAAATGAAAGCTGAGCTGTGATTGGTTGGTATTGACATACCACTCATACCAACCGACATGGTGTTCGAGTACGAATGACTTCAATTTCCAATACTCCTTGATTCACTATGACTATCAATAAAGTGCAGGGGAAATCTTGGCAAGTTTGCGGTTTAAATTTTGAAAATAATTGTTTCTCTCATGGGCACTTATACGTCACAGGCTCCAGTCGATAAACCATCAGATCTTTATGTTTATGCAGAAAATGGACAAACCAAAAATGTAGTCAATCCACTAGCTTTACAATAAAAAAATGATTTCTGTTAAAAATCTAATTTCTGTTATTTAAAAAAACCCCTCTTATTCTTTCCTTTCCCACTATTCTTTTAGATACAACAAGGTAGGATGAAAAACCATTAGATTGGGTAGTCGGATAAGGTAGGGGAAGCAGTAGACAAAAAAACTAAACAAAAAAGGTAAATATGTGTATGTCTATACTTATATCTATATATAGCTAAGGGAATTTGCAAGTTAAAGATGGGGTATCCAGTAGAAGATTTTGTACACATACATCAATGAATAAACAAAAACATTAAAATCACATAATCCAGATCATATTCCAGGGCCAGTCCGGGTCATCATTAAATTAATTTATGGTCTCTTATTGCACTGCTCCCATTATTGACCAAAAGCCTGATCCCAGAGCCATGTTTTTGGGTATTTTCCTGAAGACCAGGAGGAAAGGGGCTGATCTAATTTCACCAGGAAGTGAGTTTCATAGATGAGGGGCCATCACTGAGAAGGCTCTGTGTCTCATCCCAACCAGTCGTGCTTGTGAAAGGGGTGGGACTGAGAGCAGGACCTCCCCTGACAATCTTAGCATCCAAGGTGGATCATAGAGGGAGATATGCTCAGACAGGTAAGCTGGGCAATTGTCATCAGAATGAAGAGTCTGTTATAGGACTTCAAAAGTGATCTATCTGTTATGTTTAGTAAGAATGCATCTGGATTCAAAAGTATTTTTAGTTGTAATACTTTTTCATAGAATCACAGAATCATAGAGTTGGAAGAGACCTTGTGGGCCATCCAGTCCAACCCTCTCCCAAGGAACAGAAAAATTGTATTCAAAGCACCCCCAACAGATGGCCATCCAGCCTCTGTTTAAAATCCTCCAAAGAAGGAGCCTCCATCACACTCTGGGGCAGAGAGTTTTCTTTAGTTTCATCCAAGAAAGTATGCTAAAATGGGCCAAAAATATTGACAAGTCGCGCTTGCGAGGGGGATGGGACTGAGAGCAGGGCCTCCCCTGACGATCTTAGCCTCCGAGGTGGATCATAGAGGGAGATACATTCAGACAGGTAAGCTGGGCAATTGTCATCAGAATGAAGAGTCTGTCATAGGACTTCAAAAGTGATATATCCGTTATGTTTAGTAAGAATTCATCTGGATGGAAGAGTATTTTTTAGTTTAAATACTTTTTCATTGAATCATAGAGTTGGAAGAGACCTTGTGGGCCATCCAGTCCAACCCCCTGCCAAGAAGTAGAAAAATTGCATTCAAAGCACCCCCAACAGATGGCCATCCAGCCTCTGTTTAAAATCATCCAAAGAAGGAGCCTCCACCACACTCCGGGGCATAGAGTTTTCTTTAGTGTCATCAAAGAATGTATGCTAAAATGGGCCAAAAATATTAACCGTATGATTAGTTTACACAAGTGAAAAATAAAAATATTCTCTGCTTTGGCTCTTGATCCACTTGAATTGGCAACCACACACTGAATGATCTCACCTGGTTGCTCAGGTTCAGAAAGAGGCGTGAGACTGCTCCAGGGTGCCATCCTCCTGAATCAAAAGGCGGATGCATTGGGAGGAGAGGGGATCCCCCTTCTGCCTTCCAAGGAACCAGGAAGCAGGCCAGGCCTCCTAGGGTTGCGTCAGGGAAGCACCTGGCGGCTCTCTGTAGGCAAATCTTCCAGTTGCACAAACTGATTTGCATAGAGGCCAGGTGTGTCCCCAGCAGAGGAGAAAGGAGCAAAGGCAGCCCTGCCGGCAGAGGCCAAAGGCAAGCCCGCCTGCCCTCTGCCTAATTCCGACCCCCATTGCCCAATCTCCCCTTCCCAGGCCAGTGCCAAGGTACAGACTATTCATCTCTGGAATTCTGTGAAGCAGGAAGAAATTCAGACTTTGCTGGAAGGGAGTCCCCCAGACTTCCCCACCTTCCAGACCTGGTTCGAAGGGATATCTGTTCTGAAAGATATTTCAGAAAGGAATATAAGTTATGTCGCTCTGGGACCAGAGTGAAGATGGGGAAGGCGGGAAGACACAGTTCCACCATGTCTCCTGTGCCATCATAATAATGTTAGAATCACAGAATCATTGAATTGGAAGAGACCATTTGGGCCATCCAGTCCAACTCCATGCCAAGAAGCAGGAAAATAGCATTCAAAACACCCTCGACAGATGGCCATCCAGCCTCTGTTGAAAAGCCTCCAAAGAAGGAGGCTCCACCACACTCCGGAGCAGAGAGTTCCACTGCTGAACAGCTCTCACAGTGAGGAAGTTCTTCCTAATATCCAGGTGAAATCTTCTTTCCTGTTGTTTGAAGCCATTGTTCCGCATCCTAGTCTCCAGGGCAGCAGAAAACAAGCTTGTTCCTTAATATATGTAAAACAAGCTTGCACATATTAATATAATTATAATATAATATAATAATATAACGTGCACACACATATATAATATTCTATTATAACATATAATCAAAATATAATATAATAATTATTATATTATAATAATATAACATATATTAATATTATATTATAATATATATTATAATGCACATACATAAATATAATATATTCTGTTATAATATATATAATATAATAATATATTATATATTACTATGGATTATGATTTCAGGACTATGTGCTTTGTTTTTAACTGCTTATTTAAATATATTAAAATGCACAGTGTAATTTGTATGTGTTTTAATGTCTTAATGCAGCATTGAATTTATTTTTTTTTTTTGTCGTGTCAGGAGCATCCTGTTGTGAGAGAATTGGCCATCTGCAAGGACATTGCCCAGGGGACGCCCGGATGATTTTTGATGTTTTATCATCTTTGTGGGAGGCTTCTCTCATGTCCCCGCATGAGGAGCTGGAGCTGATAGAGGGAGCTCCACCGCCTCTCCCTGGATTTGAACCTGCGACCTGTCGGTCTTCAGTCCTGCCAGCACAGGGCTTTAACCCACTGCGCCAATTATTGCCAATTTGGAACCCGCTCTGAGTCCCCTTCAGGGTTGAGATAGAGCAGGGTTAAAGTACAGTAAATAAATAAATAAAATAAATAATGTGGAAATCTCTGAAAATATTTACATCAATATTGGCAAACAGATAAAAAAACAACAACATTGAGCTTTTTCTTTTTCCTAGTGTTTGTCCCATGAATTTGCAGAATCCGCTTGTTTGAGTAACTGGATTAAATCTGACCAAGTAGGCTTCCTATCTTGAATGCAAACGAAAGACAATGTAAGGACAATCCTAAACATAATTAAACCTATTCAAAATGCATTTGTACTATTAGATGCTGAAAAGGCATTTGAAAAACTAAACTGGAATTTCATTATGGAACTACTAAAGAATTTCAGATATGGCAAAAAATGTATCAATGGAGTATTCCCAGAACAAAAAGCTAAAATCAGAATCAAAGTAGGCATGACCAAAGCCTTTCCAGTATAGAGAGGCATGTGACAGGGATGCCCTCTCTCACCAGTCTTATTTATACTCGCCATAGAAATCAAAGCATGGAAATTACCACAAGGGGCGTTCTCTCAGGGGGCGGGGCTTCTGTAGCTCCGCCCCCTCGCCGCTCCTCCCGAGGCCTCTCTTCCGCCTCAGTTGTCCGTCGCCTGTCGCCGCTGCCGCCATGGAGCAGGGGGAGCCGCGAGGGAGCCCAGCCCGAGGGTGAGGCCTGGCAGGAGGAGAAGGGGGCCTCCGGGTGGGGGGCTCCTCGGGGCAGAGACGGACCCCAGAGGGAGGGGGTCCCATTTCCCGAACGGGACACCCCTTCCTTCCGCCTTCCTTCCCCTTTCTCTCCTTTCTTCCCTGCTCTCCCTTGCTTTTTATTTCTCCCTTCCTTCCTTCGCCATGTTTCTTTCTCTTTACCTTCAATTCTTTCTTCTCTCCTTCCTTCCCCGATCTCCCTCTTTCTCTTCCTTCCTTCCCTTCTTTCCTTATTCCTCTTCTCTTTCATTTCTTCCTTCCCTCCCTGTTCTCCCTCCTTCCCCTCCTCCCTTCCTTCCTTCCCTACTCTCATTACTTCTTTTCCATGCTCTTTCTCCTTTCTTTTTATTCCCCTTTTTCCTCCTTCCTTCACTTCCTTCCTTCCTTCCCTGCTCTCACCACTTCTTTCCTTCCTTCCTTTCCTACTCTCACTCCTTTCCTTCCTTCCCTGCTCTCACTCCTTCCTCCTTTCTTTTTATTCTCCCCTTCCTTCCTTCCTTCCCTCCTTCCCTGCACTCCCTCCCTTTTTTCCTTCTGTTCTTCTTTCTTTCCCTGTTCTTTCTCCTTTCTTTTTATTCCCCCTTTTCTTCCTTCCTTCCCTGCTCTCACTCCTTCCTCCTTTCTTTTTATTGTCCCCTTCCTTCCTTCCTTCCTTCCTTCCTTCCCTACTCTCATTACTTCTGTTCCCTGCTATTTCTCCTTTCTTTTTATTCCCCTTTTTCTTCCTTCCTTCACTTCCTTCCTTCCCTGCTCTCACCCCTTCCTTCCTTCCTTCCTTCCTTTCCTACTCTCACTCCTTTCCTTCCTTCCCTGCTCTCCCTCCCTTTTTTCCTTCTGTTCTTTCTTTCCCTGCTCTTTCTCCTTTCTTTTTATTCCCCCTTTTCTTCCTCCCTCCCTACTCTCACTCCTTTCCTTCCATCCCTGCTCTCACTTCTTCCTCCTTTCTTTTTATTGTCCCCTTCCTTCCTTCCCTGCTCTCCCTCCCTTCTTTCCTTCTGTCCTCCTTTCTTACCCTGCTCTTCCTACTTTCTTTTTATTCCCCTTTTCCTTCCTTCCTTCCCTGCTCTCTCCTTCGCTTCCTTACTTCCCTGCTCTCCCTCTTTTCCTTCCTTCCTTTCTTCCTTCCTTCCCTGCTCTCACTCCTTTCCCTTCCTTCCTTCCTTCCTTCCTTCCCTGCTCTCCTTCCCTCCCTGTGCTCCCTTCTTTAGTTTTAATTCCCTTCCTTCCTTCCATCCCTTTTCAATCCTGACCTTCCCACCTTCCCTTTTTTGCAGGTACTGTGCCTCCAACTGAGGAAAGAAAGAAGGAAGGAAGGAAGGAAGGAGGCCATGGAGGCCGGGGGCCTGGCCTTTCCCTGCTGGAGGGGCCCTTCTGAAGCTGACGAGGAGGAGGAAGGGCCCTCAGGATTTGAGAGTGGCTACTTGAGCTTCTCCAGGAGGGGCCCCGAGGAGAAGGAGGCAGCAGAGGAAGAGGAGGAGGCCCGCCTGAAGGTGGACTTCTTCCGGAAGCTGGGCTACTCGGTGGAGGAGGTGGAGGGTGTGCTGCAGAAGCACGGCCCCGGCGCTGACACCAACACCGTCCTGGGTGCCTTGGTCCAGCATGGGGGCCCCGAGCAGCAGCAGCAGACACATCTGCCACCCAAGAGGAAGGGGCCCGGGTCCCCCGCATCCATGGGACCCCAGGACATGCCTCCTGCCCTGCCACTCCACAGCCCTTCTGAGGAGGGGCCTCAACTCCGCCCCATCGTCATCGATGGCAGCAACGTGGCCATGAGGTAAGAATCACAGAATCCTGAAGTTGGGAGGACTCCAAGGGCCATCCAGTCCAACCCCCTTCTTTCAAGCAGGAAATGCACAGCATCACCAACAGATATCCATCCAGCCTCTGTTTGAAAGCCTCCAAGGAAGGAGCTTCCACCACACTCTGAGGCAGAGAGTTCCACTGTTGGACTGCTCATCTTACTAAGAAAGTTCTTTCTAAGGTTAAAGTGGAATCTCCTTCCCTGTCAATAGAACCTATGGCTTTCTTGAGGTCCAGGCTCCAGGGCAGCAGAAAAAAGCCTGCTCCCTCTTCCTTAGGACATCCTTTCACATATATAAACATGGCTGCTCTCATGTCTCAGCTTTCTCTTCTGGAGGCTAAACAAGTCCAGTTCTTTCAGCCACTCCTCAGAGGGATTATTTGTGGTCTCCAGATCTTTGATCATTTTAGTTACCCACCTCTGGCACCTTCCAGCTTGTCAATATCTCTTTTAAATTGCTTAGCTCAGAACTGGACACAGCATTCCAGGTGAGATCTCACCAAAGCAGACAAGAGGGGCACCATGACTTCCCTTGATCTAGAAACTAGACTCCTTTTCATGCATCCCAAATTCCCATTGGGATTTTTAGCTGCTGCATCACACTCTTGGCTCCTGTTCAATTTGTTGTCTACTAAGACTCCAATATCTTTTTCACATGTAACTCTGTTGTTGAGCCAGGCATGACCCATTCTGTATCTCTGCATAAGAGACCCCACCCTGTCCACACTGAACAGTTGTGGCACTTTGATCCCCCTTGAGTCTCCTTGTGGAGAGAAAAAGTGGATATTATTATTAATAATAATAATATTTTGTCATGTCAGGAGTGACTTGAGAAACTGCAAGTCGCTTCTGGTGTGAGAGAATTGGCTGTCTGCAAGGACATTGCCCAGGGGACACCCGGATGTTTGGATGTTTTATCATCCTTGTGGGAGGCTTCTCTCATGTCCCCGCATGAGGAGCTGGAGTTGACAGAGGGAGCTCATCCATGCTCTCCCCAAATTCGAACCTGCGACCTATCAGTCTTCAGTTGTGCCAGCACAAGAGTTTAACTCACTGTACCACCAGGGGCTCAATAATAATAATAATAATAATAATAATAATAATAGAGCTGCCTCGGTGCCAGGCCTTGGAGCTGTCACCTGGCAAGACATTTTACCTGGAGCCTCATCAGACTTCAACTCCCAGGTCCCCACAGAATCCAGCCTTGACAGTTCCATGCGGATTTGCAGATATTACCTTAGTTGACTGCAATTCCTTCTCTGTCAAGGAGTGCAAACTCCTATTGCCTTGAGCCACAGAAGTTGAAGAGCCATCATTGCAGATTCCCCTCACCTCTCTCCCAATCTCTTCTGGCCCTCACTTCACAAGAGCCCTCTGAGAAGCAATGCCCTGTCCTGCCAAACTACAGATCCCAGAATCTGGTAGGGTCAGGATGTTGCAGAGGGGAATGGGGGGCAGTGTTGTTCTCCCGGGGACCCCGTGACCAATGCACATCTTGGGGCCTCCAATGTGAGCACTGTTTCTGGGCCTATCTGACCTTATGATTCCGAAAATGGGACCAGTTTCTCCCTCTCAGCTCCAGTTTTTGAGATACAGAGCATATGCCACCTACCAGTCATCATCTATTCTCCCATAAAAAAAACCAGGATAACCCTAATATTAGAATATTATTAGAATAGCATCTTGTCTCTTGTGCTATTCTAATTATATAATATAATGTAATATAATATGTTGTATATACATATAATATTTATAATATTGTAATGCAATATAATACTAATATATTATTATTATTATTATATATTTATATTGCATATAATATTACTAATACAAAATAATGGTAGAGTACAATATAGTAATATTTAATACTCATATTGTACTATGCTAATAATATATTGTATGTATATATACTTTGTAAGCCTCTCTGAGTCCCCTTCAGGGTGAGAAGGTTGTCATATAAATGTCGTAAATAAAAAATAAATAAGAAACTGGAGCTGCTGAGGTACATCCAATGCCATTTTCTGAATCAACGGTCCAGATAACCCTGGGAACAGGCCTAAAAACCAAGACACCGAGAAAAGACATTTGTTTTCCTTGAGCTGGGTTATCTATGGTTCGAACTGTGTTTGGTTTTGACTTACAGGGTGAGCCTCTTTGGGTCCCCCTTGGGAAGAAATTAGTTGAAATTAGGTGGCCCATGCCTTAGTCACTTCCAGATTGGACTACTGTAATGCACTCTACGTGGGGCTGCCGGGAATTTCAGTTGGTTCAGCTGGCAGCGGCCAGGTTGTTAACTGGTGCTCCTTACAGAGAGAGGTCAACCCTCCTGTTTAAGGAGCTCCATTGGCTGCCGTTCATTTTCCGGGCCCAATTCAAGGTGCAGGTGCTTACCTACAAAGCCCTAAACGGTTTGGGACCCATCTATCTGCGTGACCGCATTTCTGTATACGAACCCACACAATCTCTTCGTTCATCTGGAGAGGCCCTGTTCACGATCCCACCTGCATCGCAAGCGCGATTGGTGGGGACGAGAGACAGGGCCTTTTCGGTGGTGGCCCCACGACTCTGGAACTCCCTCCCCAAGGACATCAGGCAGGCCCCAACATTGGCAGTTTTTAGAAAGAGCTTGAAGACGTGGATGTTCCAGTGTACCTTCCCAGAATAAGGACTCCCAAGCAATATGTCCCAAATGCACTTTATGAGAGACTTAGTACTGTCTGTACGCCTATCTTTAAAATATCCCTGGATATGCCCAGCATTTTAAAATTTTAATTCTTACATTTGGCCCTGCCAAATTGTGTCGAGTCATTATTGTATTGTTTTGCTTTGTTATGAGTTATTTATTGTTGTATTGTTGTTGTTATGTTTTATGATGCAGTTGGGCTCGGCCTCTTGTAAGCCGCACCGAGTCCTGTGGGAGATGGTCGCGGGGTATAAATAAAGGTTTATTATTATTATTATTATTATTAGTTGAGTGCCATCAGTGCAAATGCACCATTGCATTCTATGGGATCCTGGGAAATGGAGAAGTGGCCCAAGAGGCCTCCTTGCCCCTTGCGCATAGGGAGAGAGCATGGGATGCCCTTTGCCTTCAGCCCTGCCCCCCAGATCCGCCCCTGCTGACCTCTGACCCCCAGGGGATTCCCCAGAGACCTTGTACCCATCGTCCTTGGTGCTTGGCTTTCGCCATGCCCGTCCTGGAGGGGGATTCCCACTCGCTCCAATTCCTCCTGATTCACCTTCCCCGGGTTGTAACTGGCAGCAACTTGATATGCAAAGATATGCAAATCTCGAATGGGGAAGGTGCGGCAGAGAATCAGGCTCCGACTTCCTTCTAAGGGAAATTTTCTTCGCCCTGGTTGCCACATCGGATGAGGAGGTCCTTCATGCGGAGAAGGGAAGAAGTGGGGGAACCGACATGCAAATTTATTCAAAAGGGGAGGCAGCACAAACCTGCCCAGAGGAAAGTTTTTGGTTTCAATGGTTTGGGAGGAAAGGTTGTTTCCTCCAGCGCAGATTTACATGCTTTTTGAATCATAGCTTCCCACTTTCAGGAAGTTCTGGTTGGAGGTGAAATTGACACTTTCAGACAAATCCTAAAAAGGAATGCCACATTCGCATTCTTGGCACATCAATAGCCACTTTGTTACTTTAAGAACACCAAACACATCTGATTTGGTTTGGCACAAAATTGCAAGGCCCAAAACATTAAAATTGATAGTTTGTTCTGGCAATAATAACAAGGATGCTTTCCTTTTTAAATAGTTTGGATTCTGTTGCAAATGGCGCTACAACAATTCTGATTTGTATCTTTGGTTTTGCGGAGGTGGAAAAGAATATTGCAAAAACAGCCATATTAGCAAAACAAAGGAGATAGTTTTCTCCCTTCCGGTCCTGCATAATGCCAGGCTTAGAAAAAGAACTAGGTTTGGACGCCTTTTGTCTGACTGTTTGCAGAAACACACCTGGCTGGAAAGGGTTATATGTATTCACATGCTTTTGTGTGTGTGTGTGCTTTTCAAAGAGAGGCACCAAGAGAGGAAGTGGTTTTTGTTTCCTGTGGTGCGCCTGCCAAGGGAAACTCCTGCCTCTGGTGAGTCACTGTTATGGGTGCCCTACTTGTACATTTAACACTCTGCACATGCCTAAAGCTACCCTCTTCTGTGCTGTTGAAGTCCTCTTGGTGACCAAAATGATCTAAGCTTTGGAAGCAAGGAATCTCTCTGAGCGGTGGCTTACGGAGCTCAGTCTTGGAGAAGAGAAGGTTGACACAATGGATCAGTGGATACAAACTGCAGGAAAGGAGATTCCACCTAAACATTAGGAAGAATTTACTTAAAAAACAAAGGCTGTTCTAAAAAGGAATATTGCTAACTGGAGTCCAGACTTCGGTGGAGTCTCCTTCCTTCTCTGGAGGTTTTGAAGCAGAGGTGGATGGCCATCTGTTGGGAGCATTTTGTTTGTGTCCTCCTGCACTGCACAGGATTGGACAGGATGGCCCTTTGATGCCTTTTCCAGCTCTGTGATTCTGAGCAGATGCACTCTGCCCATGCTCTGTTGCAGTGGTGTCAAGGAGGAGGGTGCAAATCCCAGGACCATGCAGAAGCGCCACAGAGACACATGTTGCCCGGAGCGCCCACAGTGCTGCTCTGCCCGCCCTGGGCGTGCCAGATTCCTTCCTCATGATGAACCTCACAAGCAAGAACAAACAAAGCATCCCGCCTGCAAAAGGGCATTGTTTTCTGTTCGGTTTCTGTGAGAGTTGTGGGGGTAAGAACCCCCTCCAAAGTCTTGGTGAAAGACTTTGGAGAGGATTCTTTGGGAACTTACTCAGCCCACCAGCACTTCTGACCAGTTGCACTTGGTGTGGACTTTCCTGTTGTAGATGAACCCTTGGCCTGTTCCCATCTGAACAGGAAGAGCACATAATAATAATAATAATAATAATAATAATAATAATAATAATAATAATAATAATAATAATAATAAAGCAGCTTTATTGATATCCCACCTCCTCTCCCCTAAGGGACTCAAGGAAACTGATCTCCCAGGTGGAGCTCTAGCCAAGGACCTTTATATCTTAGGGACCGCCTCATTCCTTTTCTCCATCAGTGGTCACCTCGATCCACCCAGGAAAATCTCCTATATATACCGGGCCCTAGGGAGGTACACCTGGAAGCTACAAGGCGTAGAGCATTTTCAACCTATGCTCCAATTCTGTGGAACTCATTGCCTCCATACATTAGAGCAATGTCGGAGTTGCAACCTTTTGTAAAGGCACTCAAGACTTGGCTGTTTGGTTGTGCATTTAAGTAATCAGATCTAATTTGCCAAATAGTCATTGTTGAATGTTTTTATATTGTGTAAATGCTATTTTAGACTGTAAGTCACTCGGAGCACCTTGGTGGAGAGCGACTAATTAAGAAATAAAGTGAAGTCAAGTCTCAAGGAGAAATATTCCCATTTGTTGTCGAAGGTTTTCATGGCCGGAATCACTGGGTTGTTGTAGGTTTTTTCAGGCTATATGGCCATGTTCTAGAGGCATTCTCTCTTGACGTTTCACCTGTATCTATGGCAAGCATCCTCACTACCTCTGAGGATGCTTGCCATAGATGCAGGCGAAACGTCAGGAGAGAATGCCTCTAGAACATGGCCATATAGCCCGAAAAAACCTACAACAACCCAATACTCCCATTACTTTCTCTTTCAGACGCATGCCATTTACAACTTCCTTTTTCAGTGCTTATAAATACACATAGTAATTCCATTCTTCTCTATATAAGGTTATATCTAGATAACATCATGTAACAAAATTTGAAAAAAAAAAAAAGCACCCTGTTCCTGGTTTGAAAGTGTTATTTCCTGTTTAATTATGTGGAGCTTATTTTGAAAGTAGTTGTTCTACTCCAGAAACTTCGTTTTTTTGTGGCTGCCACAAATTGTGTTGAATTGGTTGAGACTCTGTGAGATAGTATGTTTAGAGATATTCACTGGAAAACTATAGCAAAATGTACTGCGAGATGTCCCTCCTGCAAAAACAAAGTATTTTCAGTTAAATAAATATTTCCCTTGTTTTCATGACAGAACCAATTAGGAAATGACATTTATAGTCCAGGAGCGCAAATTGTGCTACATCAGTGGTTCCCAACCTGTGGTCTGTGGACTACCAGTGGTCCACAAGAACTAAAATATGGGCTGCGACCTTACCACTACTACACCATTGCAATGAGAGCAGCTGGTCTCGAAAAACTGTCTTATAGTGCCAAGGCTTATTAAATACGGTTTCTGATGGCGACTACTGGATGACATATGTTCTGTATCAGAAACTGGAGCTGATGTGGTCTATCCAGTGCAGTTTTCTGAATCAGCGCTCTAAATAACCACACTGAATCTAAACTTGACCAAAAACTGATTTGTAATCCTTTTGGAACTAATGTTAGAGAGTGGTCCCTGATCAGAGTTGGGAACTGCTATGTAGTGTAACCAAATCCTTCTAATTCTCAAAACTCTCAGAGATGAAAGGAAGTGGTAAGCCACTTTTTATCTCTGTGCATTTTCTCATATCTTGCTTGTTTTCTTTCTGTTGTTCTTTCTTCTTTCATTTATTCATTTCATGTTTATAGTTTCTTTAAATATTTACAGCAGTCAATGTATTTGGAAAGTTCTCAATAAAATTTACTGAGAAAACAAAACATACAGTTTTCAGGCATTGCCAAACTTCGGCCCTCCGGGTCTTTTGGACTTCAACTCCCACATTTGTGGGAATTGAGGTCCAAAACAACTGGAGGGCTAAAGTTTGCCCATGCCGGGTTAAGGGGAACTGCACATAGAAGGAAAGTGTGAATTTCTAGACTGATGCCACAGAGAGACCGGGCTTGAATGCCCCAAAGGCATCCTGATGGCTGGACTCCACCCTGAAAGGGACATTTGTGTATTTGTGCCTACAAGTGAGCTGTCAGGTTACAACAAGCCCAGAGATTCCCTGGGTTCTTTTCTCTTCCTTAGGAAGTTTCTCGGCACCAAGAGGAATGCTTAGTAGCTCTGCAGACTTTGCTCCCATTTCCCCAGACCACCCCAGATGCCCTTAGCTGCCCACAGAGAGAGAATGGTTAGTCCTGAGAGATTGGCAGGGCTCTTGCTTGTGCTTGGTCTCCAGACAAAACCAACCTGGAAAAGAACACACAGAGAAACACCCTACTTTATGGGGGAAAGTGCTAGAAATGGCAACAGGCCAACTTGACTACCTGAATTTTTTTAACTCTCTTTGGTGCATGTGGAGTGGTGCCGCACTGAGCTGCTGAACTTGCTGACTGAAAGGTCGCAGGTTCAAATCCAGGGAGCGTGGTGAGCTCCCATTGTTAGCTTCAGCCAACCTAGCAGTTTGAAAACATGCAATTGTGAGTAGATCAATAGGTACCACTTCAGTGGGAAGGTAATGGTGCTCCATGCAGTCATGCCAGCCACATGATCTTGGCAGTGTCTAAGGACAACACTGGCTCTTCAGCTTAGAAATGGAGATGAGCACCAATCCCCAGAGTCAGACCCAACTGGACTCAATGTCAGGGGAAAACCTGTGCAGTGCCATGGTAAGCATCCTAATGAGGGGCTTCATTTAGAAAAGAATAACTTTCTTGTCATGGTACATCGTACAAAATTAAATACCATTCCCAATACACATTATATGTATAGAAGTACAAAACCTAAACACTCATCCTTCCACATTCTAATGGCTATTGCACAACCCCTCATGCCAGTGTATTGCTGAATGGATAGATAATGATCAGGTAGATGGGTTCATTGATAAACTGATAGATTGTAAAGAAATACAAAGGGTGAATGCAGAGAGAAAAGAGAAATGTATTGATGAATGGATGGATGGATAAGTGGATCAATAAGTAGATGATAAGGGAAGATAGAGAAAAATGGATTGGTATGTAGGTAGGTAGAGAAAGAGAGAATAGAACAGAATAACAAAACATCCAACTTTCCGCATTCTAATCACTATTGCACAACCCCTAATGCTACATCAGTGTGAAACCATAGAGTTCAATATAGTAACAGGTCTGGGATAAAAGCTCTCTCTTAGCCTATTTGTCCTTTTTATCATCCTATACTGTGTGCCAGATCATAGTAATTCCAAAAAAAAGTATCCAGAGTGAGATGGATTCTTAAGAATATTTTGAGCTTTCTTAAGGCAGCGGGAATGATAAAGTTCTTCCAAAGACGGAGAGGGCAAGGTTTAGCACTAAAGTGCTGGAATAGAGTGGCATAGAGTCTGTATTGAAGGGTTGGGGTATGGAGTTGCTCTGTCCTGTGTTGTGCCTCATTGTACCCTGTGCCCTGCATTCTGAATCAGTGATGTTCCCCCCTTCTTTTTTCAGCCATGGGGACAGAGACGTCTTCTCCTGCCGGGGCATCCTGCTAGCAGTGAACTGGTTCCTTGACCGAGGGCACACCGACATCACCGTCTTCGTTCCATCCTGGAGGAAGGAGCAGCCAAGGCCAGATGCACCTATTGCAGGTAAAAAGAGGGAGAGTAAATAGAGCGGAGGAGCGCTCTGGGACTCCTTTTCTGGATCTTCTCAGTCTAATGGAGGGTCAAGATTGTTGCGGTTTGTTAGTTTATATTGAAAATACACAGCAGTCTTCCCAGCTCCAGGCCCCAAGTTGAATTACACAGAGTATAAAGGAAAATGTCTTTACTCTGGAGTAGTTAATACATGTAGCTTTATAAAGAAAAATACAGTAGCCTTGAAAACACATTGTCCACATTGTCCATTGCAGAAGGAAAAAAACACTTACAAAATAATGCATTAATCTGCTTCTTTCCAGCAAACCTTGTAGCATAGTTCCATCTCTGATTACTTCATTTCACCCACTACCTGCATCAAGAAAACCTCACCTGATATACATCCTAATCAGGGAGTGGTTCTTCCTCAACACACACATAAGCAAGAGATGATTCTTGTCAAGACTTACAAAATCATATACTGTAACACTCCTCCTTGTGTGTAGAGGAAAACACAATACATAATACAATTACATGGTACACTCACAAATTCCCAAATCATTCAAAACATTCTGATGTTTCTGTACACTCAGTGGCTTAGTTAGTACATCAGCTAGATTTAGATTTGTATTACAATATACCATATCAATTTCACCATTTTTCACTGCATCCCTTACACAACTGTACTTAATATCTACATGCTTGCTTCTTTGTTTTACTCTGGCCTGTGTTGCCATTGTGATGCATGTCTGATTATCCTCATATATTGTTGTTGGATCTTCAACAGGTATTTGCAAGTCTTTAAGCAGTTGTTTGATTACACAAATCTCTGTATATGCTAAGCTAAGTGCACCAAACTCAGCCTCACTGGAACTTAAAGCTACATAACTCTGCTTTTTCGACTTCCAGTCAATTACAGCATTAGAAAACTTAACTAAAACTCCTGTTGTCGATTTCCTATCAGTACAGTTGCCGAAATCACTATCTGTATATACCTGCAAGGATAGCGAATCATCTGGACTTAATGCCAAACAAAAATCTTGTGTTTGCTTTAAATATCTTGCTGCCCTCTTAAGTCCATTCCATGCAGCAATGGTTGGGTTGCTTGCATACCTGCTTAGAAAATTCACAGC